TCTTTACCTTGAAAGCACCAGTGCCACAAGCAGCTAAGAGAAGATTGGGGCAATGACCTCTGTTCTCATTGTTGGAAGGGAAGCGGTTTTCAACAAGCTTTGTTCCTTAGCCAAAAAATTATGCTATCTAGATACAGGGGAGTAGCAAGGATATTTTAAGGATGGGAAGGTGTGTAGGTTATTAATTTAATTATGCCTTACATATAGGGGACTGACACATGCTCTACTTCTTTATATATATGATCTTGTATCATAATGTATGAAGGACAGGCACTAGAGAACATTCATGCCATGTACATTCTTTATATTCGCAGTTTTTCACAAACCATAGTATGAGATTTGTGTTAATCTAATCACTTAATGAAAATTATTTCTCAAAGGTAAGGGATGGGTGAGTGATGAGCACCTCAGGAACCCCCCCCCTCCCCCTTAGCCATGCCCCTGTAATAACTGGCTTTTATGGGCATTGTAATATTCTGTAATTTACTAATTTGCTGTTTTCTGATAAGGAGGAGGGTATGCAGAATATGTTGCTGTTGAAGAGGTCCTTGTCATGCCCGCACCTGATTCTCTTGAATTTTCTGAAGCTGCAGCCATTCCTGAAGCATGGCTAACAGCATATCAACTTCTGCACTTTCTTGGGAGAGTTAGAAGTGGTGATGTGGTGCTTATCCATGCTGGTGGCAGTGGTGTTGGAACAGCACTGGTACAGCTGTCATTAGTAGCTGGAGCACGGCCATATGTGACTGCAGGCTCAGAGGAAAAGATCAAAATGGCAGAGTCACTTGGAGCCAAAGGAGGCTTCAATTATAAGACGGGAGATTTTTCCAACTGGATAGAAAGTGTGACAGGAGGTGTTGTATTATTCAAAGATAGTTCATGGATTCTTGATGCTGTTTTGATGACAATGAAAAGCTGATATGTCTGTTTTTGAAAACAAGTTGGTGGTAGAAATCTCCCCCTGTCTTCCTTTTCCTAACTTAAAACTTCCTTCTCTGGTATCAACTGAGCCTTCACCTCCAAAGACCTGATTTAATATTTCCCTATAGACTGCTTCTATAATAAAATTTTAAATTTTAAAGGGAAATTAGGAGGTGTGTCAAGATAACACCTAATCTCCTACCCAGACCCTACCGGTTAGCTGTAACTGAAATGCATGGCTGTGGAAGGTCTGGGTACAAGATCTAGATTAGATAACACATAAGAAATTATTGCTTTGTCTCTTCTCATCATTTTTCACTAGACAGTGTAATGAAACTGCAAGGTTTTTAGAATGAAATACATTTTAAAGGTTGCAATGGCAAGCTGTAATTCTTAATCTACAACAGTATGTCTTGTGTCAAAGACAGCTCTTTCTGGCCCCCTTCCCCTGCCCCTCCACCTCTCCTCCCTGATAATGTAAGAAAATTCTACCAAATGTTTCCTACAGCTTTCTACCAAAGAAAATACTGAGATTATAAACTGGATACCATAATGATACACTAATAGAACTGTTAGCTGTGCTATCTACAATGGTGCGAGGCCTTTGCACTCTGGCAACATGCTACTTGTGTTAAGATTTTTAGGAATTTTTGTTATTTCCTCAGGAAAAGGGGCAGATGTAATCCTTGACTGTGTTGGTAGTTGCTTCTGGGAGCAAAACATTAGGAGCCTCGCTCTTGATGGTCGTTGGGTACTGTATGGTTTGTTAGGAGGAGGAAACGTGAGTGGGAACTTACTCAGAGATTTGTTAAAAAAGAGAGGATCACTCATAGCCACAACACTGAGAAGTAGATCTCTTGAGGTAAGTTTATTCATCTTGAAGAGTGGTGTCCTATAGGAAATTAGAAAAGGAAAGTCTTAAATTGCAGTGCACAGTTTCCATATTGATGAAATGCAGCAATCCTCTGCACTCCCTCAACAACCCTGTGACAAGGTCAAGAAAGACCTTGGAAATGAGATTCAGCCAACCCCCTCCCTCCTCATTTTTTTTCATGTCAAAGGACCCCCAGGACATTTTGTATTTTCTCTATTTAACTAATTTTTAAATTTATTCCTCAGTACAAGGCAGAATTGGTGCAGGCATTTACAGAAACCATTGTTCCACTATTTGCCACTGGTAAACTGAAGACCATTGTGGACTCAGTGTTCACGATGGATCAGATTCAACTTGCTCATAAGAAGATGGAGTCCAACCAAAACATTGGAAAAATAGTTATTAAGATAGCTACACCTCAAGTAGATGAAAACGTCACAAAAAACAAATCTGAACTCTGATCTGCATTTGGCTCTCAAGGCCAGGTGTAGGTTAGCTTCTCAACCACTCCCCCCTGGCAGGGGTGAATGGTTGTTGAAGGGTTTTTTTGGCCCTCACTACGTACAGTTCTAGGGCATAACAATTAACTTACTGACCAATAGAAATTATCCATTAATTTATTCGATCATAATATTTGTCTGCGTAATGAAAGACTGTGCTCGGCCAGGAAGCTTCCCACAATCCTACAGTACCTCTGCTTTCATAGTCTATTTTTGCATGATTTTCAACCCTGTAGTGTACTATGTCTCGGGAGGAAAGGCTATTGGCGTCGCACAAGCAAATGCTGAAGAACGTAGGTTCAGTTTGTTGACTGATTCATTGATAGGAAAACCAAAAAACGGTCACGAATGGTGCAGCAACGCACGAGTATCTCATTCTACGAATAGATCGGTTTGAGTGTCCATTTTAGAGTAAGTTAGTGTATATTTTCCATCCTAAATACAATTTTATTACAACGGTAAAAAATGATATCAAATATTTAAAACAAATAGAAAAAGAAATGGTACGAACGTCTCAATAAATATTAAAGAAAACCGTGTGTTTCGTATTCTACTTAAAATGATTCCCGTCTTAAATAGAAATTCATTATAATCTCATTACGTTGCATAAACCTACTTGGAGCACGGCAGTTATTAGACAGCTGCAATCGTGCGTAAAATACAAGTATTATTTATCTTAGTGGCTATTTTAATATTTACACCATTTACACACGAAAAAAAAAAGAGACCAGTTGTTGAGAGGCTAACGTTAGTAAGGATAACTTCTTTTTCTGCTTCTTATTTACTCTCCTGTGGATGGATGTTCCGCAAAGCTGTCAGGACAACCACAAGAAAACCACGCAACGGCGTGGCCATTTGTATCAAATTTGACGGAAATGTATGGGGAAATCGAAAAGTTCCATAACATCCCACAAACACTCGTGAAACTTCAAATTAAACATTTTACTACTAGGTATTACTATATAATTTGTTTTATCAACTGAGTTGATGATGTAAATTAGCCATTGTAAAGATTTTCTACAGCTGAAGTTTCGAGCGTTAGCGCTTAGTCAGAGCGAATAATGTACTAGGTATGTTGTATTGTGGTTTCTGTAACTGAAGATGCAAAATTTTACCGATTCGAAGGGTTCGGCAGCGGACAATCATCCGAGTGCATAGTAGAACGACTTACTCTAAAAGTTTCGACATTCCCATGTATTTCCCCCAAATTCAGTTCTACAAACCGACGCACCGTTTGTGTGGGTTCCTGTGGTCAAACATCACGGAGGATCGTCAATTAACGCATGCGTAAAGAAAGTTCAAGATTGACGAAGGTGCATTGCAGCTTTGTAGTTGTATCAAACTTTCTTGACAAGAAGGTGAAGAGTTGCATTGGGCACTAAACCACATTCTTGTAAAGTTGCGTTAGGATCATCGTAAACTCTGTTAGGAAAAGACGTTTTTATTTCGTAGGGTGGAGCATCTTTCGGCCTATAAAAAGAAAAAGAATTCCGTTAAGAAAAATTCCGTTAAATGCTACGGACAATTTCATTCTAATAAGACATTGTTTAAGGCATAAGTCCCACTTGGGAAAGGTAAAATTATACGAACGTCTGCAAAGTGCGGTAAAACGAGAGAAGAAGTCCAAGCTCATAAATTGCGAATTGGACGTCCACAGCAAGCGGTTTAATAGTAACAACCACTGATGTCTCGAACATCTCTTCATTCATTTCGATATGAGCATAGCTCAATTTGATTATCTGGTGAACCGAAACATCGACATGAATAAGTTTTCTTCGTTTCTTCGCATACCTTACAGCATCAACGTGACTTCTAACATCTCGTATACAATCTGTAAACTTCATCTTCAAGATGTATGTCTAAAGAGACGAAAAAGTCAAATGAGGGGGTTGAAGAGACTTGTACGACAAAAATAGATAAATACGTACATAAATAAATGAAATAGAAAATAAAACAAAACAAAACAAGATCCAACCATTTCTCCTGTCTCTGATTTGATCCTCAAAGTAGAAACCTGCGTTTTACCAGCTGATTGAGGTCTTGTAGTCTCAGCACCTCTAAAGGAATACAACGAAGACAATGAAAAGTCTTAAAAAGGAGAAGAATGCAAAAACGTACAATTTTATTTCTGCCATGTAAAAAGGTTAGAAGAAAAGTTAACCACTCCCCACGCGTAACCTATCCGCTCGAATATCGTCTTCAAATGAGCTCGAAATTCGGCCACGGATGCCGTAATTTTGAAACAGATTATTAACCTAGCCACAACTGTCCCAAAATGGCAGCAATCACTAAGCTCGATTCACAGCAGCTGCCGCTCTTGTAGTGGCAAAAGTTAGCTGAACAGCAGCAGCTATGACCCGCGCCTTCTGGTTCTCGCAGTTTGAGTTGAACTCTGGGAAGTCATGCATGAAGCATCAGGTAACTGAATTGCTCCACATATACTTTTACTGGCGGCGATCAAGATCAACAGAACACTTTTCTCCGATGCTAGTACCTGAAAGTCTGTGACTATGCTATACGTCCTAACGAAAGGAAACTCCAAATTCCCTAACCTTAATTTTATCTCTTGAAGCACAGGAGTGTCTAGCACTTGGACATCTGATTGTCTTTCTCCACCCTGTTAAAGCGAAAAGCTCTATTCAGCATGGAGTTGGATCAACTTTTGCAAACAACTTCTCTCAATGTAAAACAGAATACTTAAAACGATAATAGTTAAGTCAAGTACAAGAGGCTAGGAAGAGAAATTAATTTTTACCAAGGAGTGAACGACGGAAAAAGGGAGGAGAGGGGAGGGAGTGTCGCAATGGAAACCTCGTCTTCCACGCCTCCTCCCCCCCATCTCCACTACAACTCTCAGTCAAAAATGGCCGGCCGGATAACGACTGCGAGCTTGTATCGCTAGTTCGTCCTGATAAGACGCCTGCACCGCAGGCTAACTGATATCATCTTCAGTGGTTTCCAACACTTTAATAAAAGGAAAGGAAAAGATCACTTCAGGCTACAAACCTTGATAATATTTCCCACTCCTGATCTCACATCAATTATTTTACCGTCTTTGATAACAGACTGCGGAAGCCGTGACAAAAATTGATCCACGGACTGTTGCTTTTGTCCTGAAAAATTAAAATAATGGATTTTCTGGATAAAAGAAAAACGGTAAGAATACTAAGCAACATAAGTATCATTGCGCAGAAGGTTATTGCCTCCTTTTTATTTTGCTTTATTTTCAAAGTGAATACCACCGACTAAACAAACCTGGTGTATGACTCTCGACTCGGCTTTTGGCATTTTCCTCACCAGCCAATGATTGCCCTGTCCCAGGAAATAAAAGTGCTGTCCTTCTGTCTTCAAACACAATATCTCTTTTGTCTTGTACCTGTCACACACAAAACAAGACGCGAATCAGTTACATAAAACTTGGTTGTGTGCAGCTCGGTATTGTAAATATTTCGCCGCAACAGTTCAATTTTGAAATAGATACTTGCGTGAAAATTAAAGAGTCATCACATGACGATCAAGATGAATATTTCACCTGCACTGTCCACCTCAATCAGGAGGACATTATTTCATGAAAGGTTGCGAATAAACCCTTCGATACTACTAAGAGTTAATTAAATTTAAGCAAGTACCTCAAAAGGAACTCCACCGGGATGTCTGGTTTGTAACTCACTTGGAAAATATCCGTCCATTATATCTTGCATACATTGCTGAAGAGAATTTGAACGCAACAAAAAAAATCAGTGAAAGCAATGTTACAGGAGTTTTACTAAGCATACACAACAATTAAATATTTATCGGTGATAACTTTGATAAAAAGCATTGATATATGAATTTTTAATGCACGTACTGTTGGTTGTTTAAATGTGAATCAAGACGAAAATCTTTAAAGGAAACCCATACATCTTTTAAAGTTTTTTTAGCGAAACAAAAAACAAACAGCAACAAAACTAAACAAAACCAAACCTAAAAAAAGATCATTGAAGCTCTTAGAAACAAGTTTTGAAAATATATGAGATCTGTAACATCATTTTGAAAGCGGAAGCTGGAATTAGCTCAGGTCTGCAACGATCGCTAACATAAGCATAGACACAACTTTGTGTCACACGTGAAAAAACAACCAACTTCTAGGAAGAGAATTGAAAGTCTCTCTCTAAATTTTCAATTGAGCGGGGAAAACAATCAGATATTGCACTGGTTTTGCTTTATTTTGCTCTCTAATTTGTCTAGAAAGTTTGCGCCACCTTGTCAACCAATCAGATGCAAAACTAAAACTAATCGCGACTTGATCGCTCGCGTTTTCCCGCGCTTTACGAGTTTGCTTGTTGTTACTCTGCGTTCTAATAGGCTTCTGGTGATATCTTCCTTCGTTCTAATTGGCCGTTGTGATTGCTTTGTTTTGGTCTCATGACATTCAATGAAAAACTGCTTTACATAATAAACGGCTGGTGACGAATTACTGACCTGAGTAAGTGGATCTGAATATGGCCTGAAAGGTCCTCCAAACATTAGAATGCCGTTTGAATACAAAACCAAGGGCACGGAATCGCGAACCTAAATTGAATCATTAATAAATATTAGACACTGCTGAACATTTGGAGTTTAAGTCCAATGGTAAAGGAAACATTCTCAAAAGATAGGGTCATACCCATGTTAGGAAAGAGCGGAAAAAATTGCCTTACAACATGTAGCTTCCTACCTAAATTAGTAACAAAGCACTCAACTAGTATCTAGTCTACGAATAGGCCAACATTATCTTCCTTATTATAAGTTCTACAAAAATTCCTCACCTTAAGTCGTGCTCCATCTTTAGTCCGTGATACATCACTACAGCCCTCTCCTGCCAGAATGTTCAGTTCCCTGATATTCTTCAAAACAACATCAAAGTCCATTTGAAAGTCATATGGTGCTGACGTAACCAGAGAGGAGTCTAATATCAAAGGGAAACATAAATCATAGAAATGAGTCAAAAGAGCGATTGGTATGTAGAGAAAAACTCATTCTATAATGAAACTTTTTGATAAAAGGAAGACTTGCTTTTTCAGTGAAAAGGAAATGATAAGTAGGTTGTAGTTTCATTGTCCAAATTGTGACCAACAAGTCGCCAATGCAGACTTGAGCTCAAAAAACGAAATATCCAACATTTCTTTCTTTTAACTTTTACACATTCAACTGGTGATCGTTCACATGGAGACTACAGCAGACTACAGGTTGTCCCTGCTTTTCGGTGAAGCTCCACGAATCAGAAAAAAAATTCGTGAAAAATTGATGTGAGCTTACACAGTGTTCCGAGCGGCACACCAACAACTTTTTTTTCACTGACTTTCTTCCTTGTGCGACGGACTTCGCCGAAAAGCAGGGACTGCTCGTAGTCTAGTTCTTTAAGCAAAAACACATATATAAAACCTTGGGACTTTTTTGAACCGGTCATATAATTATTTCCGCATGAAAACAACACCGCTATGGTACAAGTCCCAGAATGCGTTGCGGAGTGGGGATGCAAGGATCTTTCGACACCACGTTTAGAGAGAAACAATATGAAAAGGCTCAGTTTACTTGGATTCCAAACTCCTTGTCTGCTGACTGAGCTGGGGGCAGGTGTGGATGTTGGTTCTTCTAAAACTTCATAATCAGAGTCACTAGCGTCATCTCCAACCCAGACCATACCATAATCAGCAAGGAATTCCTGTGGTAAAGAAAAAAAACCTTGCGTTTAACAATTGGAGTTGGAGTGAAGCAACGGAACTTACACTAAGTGACTCAATGTCCATCGTTTCCGGGTCAAAATTGGAATTTAAAGTGTTGCTTTTGGCGGCGGGAAGAAAACCCGAACATCCCGGAGAGAAACCGTCGAACAACAAACTCAACCCACGTGTGAAGTCAGCTCCGGGAATCGAACCCAGGCCACAGTGGAGCGATGCCATCTCCTCCTTTTACTAAAAATCCTCAGTCTAAAAATCACGGATGACTCTTCCTCTGTTCATAAGGCTACAATTCACGCGCTCGTGGCCATGACCATTGCGTGAGCGCAGAAAGTATGCACAGCGAGAAAAGCAGGCAGTGTCCTTAAAGTAAATCGAGAACTCATTAACCCCCCCCCCCCTGGTTATTTTTACCCCCACCCAGGATGTAAAAATACACCTCCTCGCTTCATGCAACAAAACAGCCATGTTCATACCTCCATCTGAAACACTTGAGTCTGTAGTCTTCTACACTTCTTCTCTAACTCTGTTATTGTGCCAGAGTTATATCCTAAAAAAGGCAATTTAGTATATTAGAATCACGTTCAAAAATTTTGTGATAGCCTTTATAAAAAGTTTGAGAGCAAATAGTAGCAACTATAAAATGTATGTATGCAATCAAATACATGACTGTGCATTTGCTGATGGGTTTCTGTGTGTTAACCATTGTCCTTACCTCGAGCTTTCTCCAACAATTTAGCTTTCTCCTCTAGTATTCTAATCTTCTTATCCTACGATAGATAAACACAGACAACAAGCTAACTTGTCATTGATATACACAAAGTGATCATTTCACATTGTTCCTCTGAATCTCTGTCACAACAACTCATGGGCTCTTCAGGCAAAATGCTCCCTGATGCCTTAGGGGTGTAACTAGAGGTAATGATGCTGAAGTAGACTATGTCTCTCCCCACCCTCAAGTGTAACACCAGCACACTATCAGAATAGCTGATAAATTGGATATTCACGATTGACATAAGAATCAGAGCAAAAAATAAGGGAAAAGAGAAAGAGAGAAGCAAAATTCTTCCCCATGTTTTGCCATGGAATAAGCTCCTGCTCATTGTTACTATAAATATCATAGTTACTGTTAGTAGTTTACTGCACTTTGATAGATCATAACTTTATTTAAAGCATTATAATGTATGGTAAGACTTTGATGAAATGACATACAAAAAGATATCTGCGATTCACCATTGCACATTACACCATGTTATATAAGAAGCAGGAAAATGAGACCTAACTATTTTCATTATGCCTCAACGTTATACCTCTCATTTTCTATTGGTCTCAAGCGCACAAGTGTGGTTAAACTTTGAAACCAGACTTGTAAATCAAAGACCGCAGTGAATCCTCAATACACATCTTTTAACCAGTTATTGGATGAGTATTGGTTGACTATAACAGGCACTAATACAACACAGTCAAGTAAATAAAAATATGGCAAACATTTTGGGCTACCCTAAATGTCGTCAACGATGCACACAGGGGCGGCTGGCTCTCACCTTTTCTCCTATCTGTGCCTGCGCAGATTTTAGTTGTTGTTCCACCTGAGCCAGACGTGACATCATACTGCTCAGAAGATCTCTATCTGATGGTACTATAAAACATCAGCAATTAATGGTTGCGTTTATCCATGAATCACCACAAAATACCAAATTAAGGCTGCAACTTCTACACTGGACAATTTCCTAGGTTTTTGTTGGAATGTACTGTAACTGTCAGTCCAACATATTTTTGCCTCATATTGTGAGTATTGTTGTTGATAGAGGTAACTGACAGCAAGTAGGCTGATAAATTATCACATTTATAACACATAGCAAAGGATAAAATTATATGAATTATTTCAATATTTATTTATTTATCATAAAAAAAATGTACTGAAAATTACAACCTCAAAGTTCCTTAACAACAATAACAAGCTTTATTGGGGTCTTCATCAACTGAGTGCTTTGTAGTGTAATAAACAATTATTCCACTAGCCCGTGTTAAATATAAGATTTTAGATAGCCAACAAGGCCTGTATGGCTGAGTTCGCTATAATCATCTAATACCCAACTAGCATGAGTGGAATGATTGATTTATCAAAAACACCCCTAAATACCGATAAATCTCCCCATCTTTATTTTATTATGTTATTTTTTTGATGCATACACTTACAATATTTTTAGAGCACAGTATAATGGCTCATAACTCATCATGGCTATTGGCCAATGAAAACTCTTGACGTGCACTATCCAATGATCCAGTTTTTAACAATTGATTTTAGAAGGAGGACCTAAGTTGTTGTATAGAACTCTCCTTTAATTAGAGAGTAAGTATGAAAAATATTTACATTTACCAGTGAGCTACCCTTACCATTTGTTGAGCTTGAGGACTTTGGTACTTTAGACAATCCATCTTTTTTCAATGAACCACCAGGAAGTTCGACTTAATGGAATAAATATCAACACACCACATTAAATGATTGCAAACTAACAAAACAACAAACTCAATCCCTATGAGGAATCAAATCTTACACGATGCTATTGACATTCCTGATCCTAGTAGTATGCAGGATGCGTGTCATATGAACTTTGTAAGAGACCTTGCTCACCATAGAGTGGCTTAGTGGTAGAACATCGGAGTACAGAATCTGAAGGTCTGAAGTTCGATTCCTTATAGGGACTCAGAATTTTTTCTTTGTCCCATGCTTGTGACAAGAAAAAAAACATCTTTCTATGTTTCTTTACTGAGCTCACAACTTGCCATTCCTCTTATTCTATTTACAGTAAAATTTTGATTACTAACCTGAAGCATGCTCTAAATTTCTGAATGGAACTTGAGCTTGCCTGAAAAATTTGAGAAAACAGATTAAGCGTATCTGTCAATAGACTTGATAACATTTTCAGGGATTGAATAATTCTTCTGTTAAGTTGAAGTTTCCTGAGTTAATTGTTGCTTCTATTTCAAAGTGTATTCATCTCCATGACAACCCATAACCTCTTTTTACAAGATAAATATTGCAGATTTTGTCTGTGTGGTGTCATTTCATTGCAAACTAACTTTTACTCCTTTTTTTTCGGTTTTTACAATTATTATCATCATAACCGTTACTATTATTGTTAGTTGGAATAAAAATACAATAAATTTTAAAAAAGGCTCTGTTACCAAGAATAATTATGAATCATGACGCGTTATCTCTCTTGATCATGACAAATTCAAATTTTAGATCAGTCAAAAATTTTTGAAAATTTATTCATGTTCACCCCATGCAGATGGAAAAACATAACATTAATCAGTGCTTTATTGAAACATACTTTGACAAATAACCCAAACTCAAAAGATAGCCAGACGAGAAACAGTAAAGAAGCAAACAATTCAAAGCCTTGATCGGTATAGTATCGTTCAAATTGTCATGAAAACAACCAATACATTTAGACCGGTAATGACCAGAGAAAACACAAAGGCAGTCCACATTTGGACCAAGTTATCTTAGCAACGCAAAGCGACCTAGAAAATGTGCTCATTAAAACTTATCTTTGTTTCCAATTTCAACTGTTACCTGGGATCGAGTGGAGTCCTTTTCCCTTTCTTCAAGCTGGAAATTGGTGAGCTCATCGTCTTAATATTTCTGAAATTTTGCGAGCGTTTTTTTACCTAAAAATTAACCGCAATCTGCTGCGAATCTTTCATAACAAACAGAAATCCGAAATGTCCGCCATTCGCCGCCATATTGGTTGTGAAGTAGTTACCAGTCTTTCTCAAATAAACTTCTGAGCCGGATAAACACGGTGGTCATGAGTTTTAATGCACACCGGCAAAAAGGGAGAGGATTGAATGTTCCAATCTTCTCTTCGAAGAAACAAATTTGAAACTAATTATGGGATCTAAAAGAGACCTTAAGGCAGGCACCGTTCTTCTGACGCCATTACTTGGATTAACATCGAGAAAAAGCGAGAATGATTCTTCGAACTCACTACATAATTCCATGCCATCGATTTGCTATCTTCCTTCGCGATCGTCGAAGAATTTGTTGGGGTTGGAAAGAGAGAGCGTTGAAAATGCCACAGTGTCATTACATCAGGTAAGTGAAGCAAAAGGCAATTAAATGGTACAACAGTTGGAGTTATAGCTTAAAAAAATTTGGTTTATGCGTAAACTTGTTAATTAGGTTTTTAACACATTAACCAACCTCAGTGTAAAGTTGTTTTTCTTTCTTAGTTTTTGCGTAATTACTATTCTGAGCTCATCTTGTTGATAACTGTTTTTAAGAAGGATGAAACATTTCACAAAAATATCTAGAGATAGTCGGAAGCTCTATACTGTAGTAAAAATGCATGTAATCAACTCCCTGAGTGTAAACAAGTGTATGCAACGCTTGGATGTATATCAAATTTGATTAATTACTTACAAGTACTTAACATTAACAGCATCGGTAAACTTTGATGGATTTTCGCTGAATCTTTAGAGCAATCATGAAAGTGTTGATTTAAACTTTGGAAGTTTTGGAAAACGAGATGATCGTCTTAGGTCGAGTTTTGACGGCCCGGATTGAATGAAAATGAAATGAATTTCTGTCAATTGTTTCCGCCCTCATTAAACGCACTTGATGGCAACATATGTCTTTTGTTTTAGAGCTTTCTTTGCAAGCAGATGAATAAAAATGTTCATCCCAAATGAAATCTTCTTTGGCTGTGCACAGATATAAAGCATGAACTGGATAAATTAATTCAAACTAGTTAAGAACTCTCGATGTACTTCATCGCATATGAGATGCATAATTAGTGGAGCCCATGAGAGAATCTGAGCGAGATATCAAGGAAAGCATATTCTTTCCAAATGCACAGGGTGACTTGTGAAAATCAGACATGAAAACACAAAAAAACATCGCAAAATTTTTGACAGTATATTTTGAGAGGTACGATTCATCTGTGAACCAGTCAACTTCACTCCTAAGATCCTAATAGCAATTCTCCTTACTACCTGCTGTACAATTCTTATGATGTTAGTTCTGAGAATTTGATATTTGATCATTTAATAATCTCCTTATTGATATTCTTCTTTATTCTCAACACCTGTCTGCTTGATATTGTATTGCTATTGTAATGAGAAATTCTATCTTGGTCACTCATGAGAGTGAAAGGGTTAATTAGTGAATGCCTATATGCAGATGTATTCATGATATGAGGATCTAGTCATGTCAGACAAACAGTGAGTCATTTTCAATCCCAGGCTCACACATCATTAAAATCAGCCCTGAGGTTTTCAACTTTCTTTAACTAAGAATTTTATGACCATAAAGTCACTGGCAAGCAGATCATTTATTTGCTTGTATGTAACCTCAAAGCTGAGATGTTAATTCTTTAGTTGATATTACACCAAATTCTCTCATCTGATTTTTAAAGAAATGTGTATTGTAGTCGGAGGAGAGAATTCCCGTTGACATCTTTGGAATTAAAGGTAAAAGATAGAAACTCTGGTGGTGCCTTGAGCATTTGTCTATTGTTTAAGTTTTTCACTGATTTTGTCACAATTTTATCTTTTCAAAGGCGGCTCGAGATGGGAAACGGGAACTTGTAGATAGAAGGCTTGAAATATTAGGTAAAGGAAACAAGAAGATCAACAAAAAAGACCAGGATAACACAACTGCACTGCATTATGCTGTCCGCTACAATCACCTTCAAATTGTTAAGTTGTTAATGGAATATGGTGCAGGTAAGAGACAATGTGATTGTGTAGTTTGATCATCCAGGTAAGGGTCATTCTGAGAAGGACTCTTGTTGTTAGTAGTGACTGACATTTCAATAACCTGAGGGAAGTCATTGTCAGAGTCACTTGACACTGATGATGTCAGAGTCACTTGTGGAAATGTCAGTCACCTTGTCATAACTACGCTTAACTGCCAGATCACACTTAAAAGCAAATGTTACCCTTGAGTTCAAAACATTTACTGTAAGGAAAATTTTAAGACTTACACATCAATGGAGAGGCTGTAATTTAATTTATGGTGTTTACAGCATCTTCTAAAGATTCAACTACTCCCCCCTGGATGGGATGCTAATCCATTGCAACATTACACTCCAGCATTTTACCAGGCTTCCCTGACAATATACCACTACCCATTTTTTTCAGTATGTCATGATAATCTTTTTTCTAGATGTTGAAGCAAAGGGAGAAGATGATGCCACACCCCTTCACTATGCAGCCAGGTTTCGACCAGTCCCCAGAATGAATGGAGGTACTCCAAGACTAACACCCCAAGTTACACCAAGTCCTAGTATGGAGAACATGATTGACGTCGGCTTGACTCTGAAGAGAGATGACAAGAAAAAGGATGGAGGCAATGGTAGCCTCAACAAGGGTGCAAAGGACAGATTGCTGGGCTCATTGAATAGACACAGGGAGACAATTGGAAATAAACTGTTTAGCAAAGATCACTTGACTGTAGAAAAGAAGAATTCTCTGCCAAAAGATATGCCAATTGTACCACAGGGGGTAGAGACTATGATTATGTATTTACTGTCGCGAAAGGCCAATATTAATGCACAGGACAGCTACGGTTCCACTCCTTTGCATTATGCAGTTAATAAAGGTAATCCTGATGCAGTTAAGGAGCTGCTGGCAGACCCAGGTATTGATATTGAGGTAAGGAAACACTATGTTTATGATTTAGCTGTGCATAGGGTGTCAGGTACTGTCACATTGGATCAACAGAAAAGAGTGATTTCACCACTGGGAGGCTTCATTCGGTAGATTATCCAGTAGGCGATAGTGTGGTAGCATTGACCCTTTATTGAATTAGTGTTTAGAAATATGGGTGGGTTTAAATCACTCCCACTTTTGGTAATCTTGTTTTGTTACTTCCTTGAGTCATCTTGTGCCCTCAGTCAGGCATGGGTGGAAGGAGCCATGACCATTAAGCTCAGTGCTTCGTCAGAGGGTTCCTTCTCTTGAAGCATTTCTGCAGATAGAAGCTAATAGTTGTTTATATGCCTCAATCTGCCACTCAGCTAATTACTTTTAAACCCACTCCTGCCGCAACACTAAGATCTGTTATGTGCCCCACTCATTTCAAGAGTGACCAGGGGTTTTTTGTTTTCATAACCGCCTTTCCACCTTCAAACCTCAGTATGCATATTCTCCATTCTGGTCTCTATACATTTGCTTAGGTGCTAACAAGGAGAATTCAGTTTCTGATCATTTGCTTTATCCTCGTGACCTTTATGTTTGATACAGAGGTGATTTGTAAGGAGAAATTAGATGTTAGTCTCTCTTGGGAATCAAAGGCTTAGTGACAGTTTTGGAGGGCAAAGCAATCATCTTGAAGGTTCTGCCAAAATATGTGAAGAAATGAACAAAATAGTGATTTGCGAGAAACTCCTTGGAAATGAGTTAAAATATGCAGTCAATTATCAATTGCTCTGAGATTTCATCAATTGAACATGAACCAATTTGCGAATAGATTCCATGTAGCTGTGCGTGTGTTAAGTAACAAATCCAGATGACGTCAAGAACGTGGTAAGAACATCAGCGACACACTCGGCTGTGCCTCTTGTGCCACTAAGCTGAAAAGACGCACAGCAACGTAGAATCTATTTGTTTTATAACAAAGCAGAATGGTGTTAATGGGGACGTCATCTGTGCGTCTTTCCTCCGATGGAGCATAAGTAATAACCGACAGATAGATAGATATTTTATTTATCCACATAACGCCTAGGAGCATTCAGCATACTCGTTTACAATACGCATGTGCAATTACAAAATAATGAAAATAATGAAAATTACGTAAGTATAAAAGACTATAAACAATCATCCGCGGGGCACAGTAACAAATTCTTATTATGGTGCTTAGCGATAAGTAAACGGTACAAGGTTTAATTCGTCTATTATACCTCTAAAAGTATTCACATTACCAGCAATTCTAGCCACTGCGTGGAAGAGTATTCCGTAGGTGGCTGGCTATGAATGAAAAGGAATTAAGGCCCCACTTGCTTTTAAAAGAATTTTGTTCAAGCTTAGTGCCTGAGCCTCTAAGATAATAATTGACTGTACGGAGTTTAAAGAAATCTTTAATGTTACTAGGACCATTCCCATTGAAACTTTTAAAAAGTAGGATCAAAACATAAAAAACCTTCTTTGTTCCAGTGCACGCGTGTTAATTAATTTAAGAATACTGTCATACGAAGTGGACTTAGGTAAACCTAATAACGTTCTGGGAATATAGTAATTTGCATCCTCTAATTTATGAGATAAAGTGATTATATAGTTCAGCTTATCAGATAATTTCTGTTGAAATGTTCCAGGCAAAAGATAAGACGATGATGACTCCCCTGCATGTGGCGTCCAGTAAAGGATCTCTCGCTGTTGCTAAATGTCTGATTAATGCTGGGGCTGACTTGAGAAGCTTGGATGAAGAGCAGATGACACCTTTGCATTTTGCGTGCATGGAAGGGAGTCTTGAGGTTGCACAATTGCTGTTTGAGACAGGTGAGTGTGATGAAATAAGAAAGCTTGTTACACAATTCAGGGTGGTCTTGAAAAGAACCGTAGTTATAGTGATATGTGCATTGATGTATCTATAACCAGACCGGAAGTCGTCATAAGAGTCTGGAAAGGAGTTCTTTTTCAGTCAAGTGTTTTAAGACTTTTTTCTTGAGAACTGATAGGCTAGTTTCATGAAACCACCATCAACTCCCAATAACTTGCGCCTTCAAGGAAATTGAAAAACAGTAAGTTAGCGAGAGTTTGGATGATGACACTTTGTTTAATTTTGCATGACGCACTAAAGCGTTGTCATTCGCAACGGTTCACGCTCTCACAGAGACATTTTGTTGTATATCAAATCGCAACTTGGATGCCAATTCGGCCATATGATTGGTTAATTTGCACCAGGTGGTAAAAATGTCCTATAATCTGATTGGCTATTCCCCTTATTCTGGCCTATGGATTAGCAATAACTAATTTTTAATTACTCCTACAAGCCGAGGAGAAAGGCGGTTGGGCCTTAGTATCTAAAATGGTCACCGCTCAGGATCGTGAGGAACAAACTCCACTTCATCTCGCTGTGGAGGACGGTGATCTGAACCTGGCGAAGCTCTGCTTGGACAAGGGAGCAAACGTGAATGCACTCAAGGTGAACATGAGTACTCCTCTGCACCTGGCCGCTACAGGGGGAGACTTAGACATCGTCAAGATGTTGATAGAACATGATGCTAACATAGAAGCAAAGAATTCCGCGCAGGAGACTCCGCTGCACAGAGCAGCTTTGTTTAACAGGGTGGATATAGTGGATTATCTTTTGAGCAGGTATTGTAAATGAAACAGCGCGAACAAGCTGTTATCACGACAAAACTGAAAAAATGTTTTTCTCCCGGTATCCGTAATGCTGCCTTGTTATTTCAAAGGTACTGCCATAAACACTTAAAGAAGTGTGCTGTTTTCCAAATCCTGAGCCCATTTTTAGACAGAGAGCAGTCCCTCCATTTGGTGAAGTCCATCACGCGATCGAAAAAACAAAATTGGCGAAAAAACCAAATTGAAGTTAGCGCGCGGCGCAGAACACTGGAATGAGGTTGCTTACTTTTCGGGCAACACACTCCCAGAGTTTCGCACCATTTTTTTTGACTCGTGCTACAGACTTCACCGAAAAAGAGACACTGCTCTTCGTCTACCCTATTTCATACCAAAACATGTCATTTTTCACACCCATTTTCAGACCAGTTTCTAAACGTTTTACTTAATTTGGGATCTATTAAGCCTTGTACAAGCCTTGTACAAGCCTTGTACAAGCTTAGGTAAGTATCACACTGGTTCCGCACTTAAGGAAACCCAACAGAGAAATCGAACTCGAATGATTAATTTTGGTTACTTGTCTTTTTCCGCTCTTGAAGCTGAAAAGATAGATACGTGCATACGCGTTTAGTGGTTCCCTTGAAAACCATACTCCATCTAAGACGTTAATTTCCAGAACCTATACCTATTTTCAGACTAAAAGGGGCACAAAAACGATATTCTTTGGGGCGGCAGATACATAGTTCGATTATATAAGGGTGCACAAGTGTGTTCAGTGTGTTCTCCATTTCCATAGTTTTTTCTCTTCTTTTAGGTAGTAAGATTTCCAAAGTTTTCCAAAGTGTGTGTGCTAGTTGGTTAAAAATTCATAGTATTTAGTTATCCTGTAATTAATTTTTTTTCCTGACTTTCGTAATCTGGAAATACATATGCTAATGGGAAATTTTGTTTGTAGGGGTGCCTTCATTGAATGTCGAGACAAAGACAAAGATACGCCTTTACTGATAGCAGCGAGTAAGAATCATTTGGGAACAATTAAAACGTTGTTGAATCATGGCGCAGATATCGGAGCAAAAGACAGTAATGATGAAACTCCAATATATAGAGCGGCCTCTGAGGGATGTATTGAGGCACTTGAAGTAAGATGCTTTTTATGTTGTTGTTGTTGTTTTTGTTGATTTTCTCGTTTTGTTTCGATTTATGACGTCGCTGTGGTAATGATTCCGTTAACTCAGAGGTTTTTTCCACCGTCTTATTGTTCTTCCCGCTTCCTTCCGTGATACCATTTTTTCCTTTGCACGTTCCTGTTTACGTTGTTGGTGCCTTTGCATCTTTGTTCCTTCGTAAAATTATATATCCAATCATTCAATAATGTGCAATTGGCAACATGGGGACAGTACCGCTGTTCAAATGTTGAACTAAATTTTGTATACCCGAATGAAAGTACTTAATACTGGTTGTTGCTGATAATAGCCATTTTAACTGAGTCGATTGTTATGTTTTATCTTTCAGTTTCTTCTCAAGGATCGCAAAGGCAAAACGCTGGCTGAGGAATACGACAAATATGAGAACACACCCTTGCATGTTGCTGCCAAAAAGGGTTATGTTAGGATTGTTCAAGTAAGTTGAACTGTTGGCGCACATTTTGATCGACTGAAAAGACCAATAGCTAAGCCAATGAGAACTCAAGATGAGACGGGCAAATAACCAAAAGCGCGGGAAAACGGGATTTACCATCGGCGTAAGCTCTGCATGTGATTTGTTGAGATTTTGGCGCAAATTTTCTCGGCCAATCACATTTACATAACGATGTTTGGCATACGCATTACGAAAAGGATCCTACCTAATCCTGGATTACACTTAAGTGAATGTTTGCATTTGGATTTTAAATTGTTAAATTATTGCCAAGCGAAGAATTAATGCGTGATTTGCATAATTCATATTTCAGCTTCTGATCGATAATGGTTGTTGTATCGACAGTAAGAATGACGGATCATTAACACCGCTTCACCTCGCAGCAAAGTTTGGGCGAATAAGGTACGATTTTAAACTGTAGTGTGCTATTGAAATCACATATTTTTTCTACGCCGTTAAAATGAACTTTCTTGAATCTAGATCTCACTGCATTTTAGATTCCAAAGGATTTCTTAACCGACTGAAAATTGTTTTCGACCAGAGATTCCGCTATTTTGAAATCAGTTACGGAGCTTCACACGCAAAACGATAACGCATATTTTTACGAACATGAGCTACCCTGAGTATCACAAAGGAATCTTTATTTGAGGCAAGGTTGCCTTCCTTTACACCGTGATATGGTTTAAACGTGTAAAATAAACGATTGAAAAAAAGGGAGAGAGACTTTGCTGCGTGATAGTTTGACGGCCAGGTTGTTAAGCAAGTTTTGAAATAGCGGCGTGGATGGAGAAGTTTTAAGCATATCTGACAACAACTTATAACAGTTTAGTTAGTTATTTGGAATCTCACAGCGCGCTCAGTGTCTTAATTTCTTACATACTTTCTCAGTGAAGTGGTAAAAAATCAAAATTGTGCTGGTGTTGCTTCGTAATGTGTAGATCGTATATTTTGTAGCTGTAGGGTGAATTGAAAATTGCAAAGCTATAACATGACTTGTTTTTCCCAGAACCGTTTGTGCTCTTTTGAAGAAAGATATGTCGATTATAAACGATGAAGATGATGCCTCAAACACTCCGCTGCACCTGGCTGCATTACACGGATATGACAAAGTGGCTAAGGAACTGATCGATAGAGGAGCCGCTATTGACGCCAGGTGTGAAATACTTAATTCTCTTTACTTTCTTCCACGAAACTAATAAGGAAGCAGGGTATGAGAGCAAAGGATGTGATTTAGAATCAAGGTAGTGAAAACAGGCAATCGAAAGTGATGGAAGGCGCGAGGTCGATTTCCGATCACAGACGTTTTTTGCAGCAGCGCCAATGAAAAGGTCTATTGACAGTCCACGATATGTTTCGTCCAAATCAATTTCAATCAGTCCTGTTTAGCTGCGCAGTGACTCGAGGTCGTTGAGATTTGTTCTAAGTTTGGTTATGCCTCAGTCGTTACACAGTACATCACTGGCAAAACTGTTCCAGAAAAAGGGAGTATGATATTCTTTTGTGCCAAAAGGATCTCTTATTTTAGACGTAACCTTGAATTAATAGCTCTCAAAATGTGGTTGCCTTATTACAGGTTATTGCGTTTCTAGGCTTAAAAATAAGCGCAATGTTTCTTGGTAAAATTTTGAGTCCTTGTATCTGTTTAGGCCAATTGACTGGTCTCCCCCTATAGTAAATTTTTGTCCGGCAAGAATTTCAATGGTCTTCTTAGGTACATTCTGTAATTGGTTCAACATATTCTCGCCAAGTATGCAACCAAAAAATGCCAAACTAAAACCAATGGCGGCTCTGTTATCCAAGTAAACTGTGTCTGGAGGCGTATATTGTTTTGATTGCAATCAGCCGTTGTGATTACTTAGCTTGGAACACTGAATCGAAAATTACCCTAATTAAAATAGTCGTCATGGGATTTCTTACACAGGAACGCTAATCTTTGGACTCCGTTGGATTGCGCAGCCGCGAAAGGTTCGGTAGACGCGGCTACTGTACTGTTAGATGAGAACTGTCCTGTGGACCCGACAGACAAGGCGAAGGTAAGGGATTATTGGCCAGTAATTGTTGTCTTGCTGATTTTTCTTTTATTCTGCAGCATCTTAAAAAATAAGCCGTCTAAGATTGCACGTGGCAACTTGTATAGCTCAATTTTTATAGCACTGCAAAGATATAGAGGTTGTGAAATAACGCTAGAATGTAGTGTTGCAGAAGATTTGTAATCAGATACAAAACAGAAAACCTGCCGCATCCCACATATCCCACAAAACCGCCGCTCGGTTAGCTCATGTTGTAGAGCGCTCTGCCAGCGCTCTGCCAAATAAGTGAGGAGAACGTGTTACCTTCACTATAAAATCTGCAAATGTATGTCTCCTGCATCTCTGTACTGGTTAGCAGGAGACGTCAAAGAACCCACGCACTTCTCGCAAAGAGTAGGGAACGTAGCGCCCGGTGGTCTGACTTTATTTCGAAAAATTCCTGAATTTAGGGTACCTGCAACTTTCAAAGCGTTGTGAACCGCCAAATGCAGTCTGGCTAAAGTTCCCCGAAAAGTACTGTAAATTAAAAAAAGAAATCTGCCAGGAGTGTCCAAAATTGGCCAGTACAATCCAAAATCCAAAATTGGCCACTAGAGTCCAAAATCCACAATCGGCCACTAGGCTCCAAAATCCGAAATCGGCCAGAATCAGCCACTGGTGTCCACAATGCAAAATTCCCCACAAGTGTCCAAAATCCAAAAATTGGCCATTAGTGTCCAAAATAAAACATCGACTACTAGAGTCCAACAATAAATAGGTTTCGTCTTTCGCACATCGCCCGCTACCCAAATTTAGCGGTTACTTTGGGCATACGTCGCCAATTCATACAATAAAATGCTTTCTCTTCGATTCGATGATTCCTAGAAATGCAGATCACACCTATTTAGATATTTCGAAGAGGGTTATTTTTTTTCGTATTTATAATTAGACGTCGGCGAGATTGAAATAATTTTGAGTTGTTTATCGTCTTTTGTAGTGTCATGGCAAGAACTGGAACGCAATATGCTAGTGGCTCTAGCCCAGATATCACAAAAAGAGAAAACTCAAATTTGTTTCGAGTGCGAATGATGACTAAATAAGATACTCCGAAAAAAGAAATAAGAAGCACCGGGAAACTTCAGTTCAAAATTGGGTCAAGATCGGAAATCTAGTGCTACTTACCATCCCTCATTCATTCACTCACTTATCCCCGTAGCGTAGTAGCTTCGCCCTCTGTTATATAGGAGGTAGTAACCGAAAAACTATAGTTCTGAAATGACTGTTAGTAATGTTCTATTATTGTTGTCATTGGTTGATCATTAGTGCTATCTCTTGTGGTGGTTCCACATTCCTTGCTAATGAAACACAAAACAGTGTCAAGCAAAGAGTTAAGTTTTGTTGTGTGTTTGTCTTTCACAGACCACACCACTTCACCTGGCGGCTCGTGAAGGTCACGTGGATATGGTTAAACTTCTGTTGTCCAGGAAGGCCAACATCACTTTGACAGACAGCGCTGGGCGCAACTGTCTGGATATAGCTATCGAGAATAACCACAAGTAAGTACTAACAGCTTGTGTGTGATACAGATGCCTGATAATTCGGAGCAAGATCGCCATAAATTATTTTGCATCTGTTTGTCTGAGATAGAGTCGCTCCTGTTTCGCTAGACCAAACGCACAGCTTCATGCAGAAAAACTGAAGCAATCCTGAATTATTGTAGTCCACACTCAATTTTGCCCTCGTATTGCTTCATAAAAAGGTGTTCTCTCTCTAGCGAATGGGTGCTAAATATTTCGATCGAGTATTGAAGCGATCACAGTAGTAGGTCGAGAGTGGTTTTTAAGAAATTACATATTTTTGCCCAATCTCCTTCCCAGTGCACTTGTACCTCGCTGCAATTTAATTTGGCGGCTTCAACCCTCGCTCGCCAGTTAATACGCTATCCACTAGCTGGCGAACTAAAACACCGTTTATTAGTCGTCTCTGTCACTCCTAGGGAAGTGGCACTCGTTATTATCCAGCACAACGATTGGAAGCAAGCCATGCGCAATAGGACCAAAGATGGCACAACTATTAACACGCCGATGAGGAAGCTTATAAAGAAGTTACCTGGTGAGTGATTCGGCGTTCAAGTTGTTGTTTTGCTGGAAAAATGTTAGTTTTCATACGTAAGTGCAGAGCTATCGTTTCGCCCAGTAACTCGTTTGTTCCATTACATTCTCTTTGCTGTTGTCTTCCTCAACTCAAGGGCCAGGACAAATTCAGATTCACTGTGATCTTGTTTTCAATTTTTTTTTCGATGCTTCTCGTTTCCCAGAGGTTGCAGAGAAAGTGTTCAATAGATGCGTCAAACCAAATGGGCTTCCTGTGGATCATCCGCAGTACGCCATAACTTTAAACTATGAGTTTCTTGATGACGTAAGCCTCGAGTGGGCGGGATTTTTGACGCCAGAGTCATCTGACCACGAGGGGTCTGGTGTAGACGCAGTGATGGACAAGATTAAATCGGCATTGCCCGAGAATGTTAGCAAACAAGTGGAAATAAAAAGTAATCATCCTCTGATGCTAATGGTGAGAGCAATCCGAATCCTTGTTCACGTGTATTTGTTTCGTTCAAGATCGCAAATGATTTCAACATGTGATAAGGACATGTAAGGGGCACATAAGGCGCGGCCTTCTTCACTGGAGAAAGCTTTTAGCATTCTTGGTGCTGAAAAATATGACAATTACGCGTTTTAATTGATTTTTGTTATTTTTTTATGTTTCGTTTAGATTTTTCTTTCTCTTGGTGAGCTATTGCTGGAAGTGCTTCTAATTTTATATTTGCGCAAGAGGTCTTGTGATCTTATGGTGTGCATCAATGCTTTTAAGAGATCAAAAGTACAAGATTTGTCTTTCACATTCATTTTTTTTTTCGGAAAGTTTACCAGATCCTCGATTTGCTAGCAGCCTGTTATTTTCTGTGTCCGAATAGACTCAACCATATCTGAATCTTGATTTACAAAAGTGCTTGCATGTCTTTGATCGTGACGTGCGCGACGTAACGCAACACATGCATTCTTCACAGGTCACCAAAGAACGGGTCAAACTGCTTAGTCATCCTTTAGTCACGTACCTATTGCGTTACAAGTGGCGCAGCTTCGGTCGCTATGTGTATTACGGCCGTCTCATTCTGTACGGGATTTTCCTGTTTTTCCTGACTGGTTATGCCATGCTTACAACAAAGAGTCTACCCATCACACTTTGCAACGAGACTCAGTGCACGTGCAACGTGACGTTCGCAACAAAAACGGCAAGTACAGGCAGCGAGATTATGTGGAGAAAGCTTGGTCGTCCGATGATTCTCGTCACAACGTCTATAAGTTTGTTACTAGAGGTGAGTAAGCGTGGTCATATTATTTTTAGCAAAGTTTCATCCAGCACTATACGTTAACCCCAAATTGAAAAAGAGAACCTGAACAAGCAAACGAAACATGCGATTATCAGTTCACGAAAACTTTGGACGAAAATCGATTACCAACTCAAGTTTCACAGGGGAAAGACGTCATTTTGTATTTTGCGCGAAATTTAAAAAAAGCTGAGACTCTGGTTTACAACTCCTCGAGTGATACAAACTCCTGGCCACAAGCCTGGCTTAACTCTTGACACCGTAAGATCGGTATGCCTGTTCTCGTCACTGTTCTCGATACATTTCCTATGATACCGACGTGAAGAATTTTATCAGCAGTCAAGGGCTTTTTTGTGGAAGATCATTTCCATATTCTCATAGCCTTAATGTTTGATTCAACAGTGATACTGTGAGGAGAAATAAGATGCCAATCAGTCTTAGAGGTTAAAGGGTAAAAGCGATTGGTAAATTTGGGGGGAGAATCTCCATATCTGATATTCGCCTCCTTGTATCTCCTCTGTTTGTTCCTTAGATCATTCGGTTCTGTTACATGTGGAGACTGTACATACAATGGAACAGACTGGTAGAAGTGTTAGCTTACATCTTCTCGATGATGTATATCGTGGATGACTTTAGATTAGACGGAACAAGCTTTACAATTCTTGAGGGGTCAAGGTAAGTTTGTTAACCTAGCCATGCGAGAAATACGAAGAGGATATTACACGGAAGCGAGAAGATATGAATCTTATGTTCAAGCGGCAAGAATAGTATCTCACGAGTGAGTTGAAAAGGTGGGAATCGTGACGTCATTGCGCAGTATGTCCCCGCGTGTTGTACACGAAAAATACGCCACTGCGTTCCAGATTAACCTGCACTGCTGACGGGGAGGGGAAGCGGTGGACTAAAATGCCATTACAGGGAAGGAGCATTATTATTGAGAACTCGATGTAAAGCGACATGGGGAGGCAAGGGGAAGGTGTTGAGGAAATTGACTCTTGCTAGAGTTTGTCTTTACCTTTTATTGGTGACAGCTTTCGGCTTTGGAGGACTTTACGCTTACTTACCCTTTCTTGTAGTCGCGTGCGTAAATCTGTTTATCTTGAAAAGTTTTTCTCTGCATTCTTTTTTCCAGGTGTTTCGTGTGGCATAGCAGTTTTGGTGCAACGGCTGTTTCTCTGTCCTGGATTGGACTTGTTCTTTTCATGCGCAAGTTTCCCAAACTTGGAATATACGTGGTGATGTTCACTGATATTTTTAAGACTTTTGCTCAGTTCTTTGTAGTCTGCTTTTTGTTCATCGTGGCTTTTGGGTTAGGATTCCACATCCTTCTCTTCAATCAGGTATGTTTGGTGACGTTATTAATCACTCACCAACTCACACTCTCAGTCACTAAAGCACGCACGCGCACGCACGCAGGCACGCAGTTACCCATTTACTCAGTCAAGTCAATCAGTCAGTCAATCAAGCATTTGATCAAAACCTTCTTTTATTTCTCAAATTTCTGGTAGTAGAGTAGCTTTATTCGTATCTATGGGAAATAAGATATATCTATTAAGCTCATAGAACCAAGGAAAGCTTTGTCAAAGTAAGCCTTTTAAAGTCATATTTCGCGGTTACATTCCAACTGAGGCAAGAGAAGACGAAGGACGTTTACGCTCTACTAAAGAATTTCCAAGCGTACATGCGGTGGAACTGAATGCATAGAAATCATGTAATTCTTTTATGGAAGGACAGTGTTGTTTTTTTACAAGCTTCGTTTACACCGTACCTGAATATGGACCTAATTCTTGTTAAAGCGTCAACAATTGTGCATTTGGTTACGTGTGCCCTCAAAAAAAATAGGAAAACATGGAAATAAAAATGCGTGCGAGGTGGGGACTGAGAGCGAATGCAAAACCATTCGTCAGTTCTTTTCTCTATGGCCCATAAAACTTCGCGCTCGTTGTTCCTAGTTGCTAAGCGGAGTGTTTGTGGAACGCTTCAGGAGGCATGCGCAGTGACGTGACAAATCTCTTGGATCTCACAGGATATAGAATAATTGACGTTTTCGTTTCTGTTCCATCAGGTGCCCTACTCTACACCAGGCCGAGCCATGCTCAAGACAACAATGGGAATGTTAGGGGAATATGAATATGATACAGTTTATAATGATAACGATGTGCCGCCGGTCACGTGGGCATTGTATTTGTCATTTCTCGTCATTAACTGTCTTATCATCATGAATTTACTGGTGAGTCATCTAATGATTGTTTTGGTCCGTGCTTCGCATGGGACTTTAAACATCTTTGTACTAGCCTGCGTAATTTTGGCGCGCAAGTACTCAGTATTTTCTCGGTAAAAATCACAGCTGCCATCTTTGATTTTCATAGCAGCGGAAGGTTGGGGAGAGAAGAAATTTTTTCCAAGGGGGTAAGTGACAAGGAAGGAGAGGGTAGGGGGTGTGGGAAGTGGGGGAATATCAATTACATTGCCTTTTCCCTCCTTTTTCATAACTCTGAATAAAACATGGTCGGTCGAATAAACGATCGCGAGCTAGTAACGTTAACTCGCCCTAATAAGACGCCTGCTATCTGTAGGCTATCTTTCTGTATAATTTTCACCAACTGATTGTGTTCTCTTTTCTTCAGGTCGGTTTAGCCGTAGATGACATCAAGGGGGTCCAAGAAAAAGCAGTTCTAAAGAGATTAGCAATGCAGGTAGGTCTTTTTATGCACACTTTGTTCCTATACGCACAGGGTCGGTTCCTGTTGAGAGGTAAACGGTTATTTTTATCGGCTGTTCAAGTAAATTTTCCCGACTATGTCACCGAATGTTTATCTTTGGACTAATGTCTTTTTCAATCGTGAAAACTCATTAATAGGAAAGATTAGGAATGGGGAACAGAGTAGAATAGTTTTTTTCGGTAAGGCCCGCACCTCAGAAATAGAATTGAAGATAATTCTTCGGGCCTAAAAGGTTAACAGGACTTTCGAGAAACGGGTCGGTGGCGTCGTATGCGGGTTCCCTTTACAGTCGGTTCTCGACCTTCGTGAAAGTGCTGCGAAGTCGATATTTGTATTTTCCGGTTTTCCTACCTCTACGAAAACCTCCTCTCCTAATTTCAATTTTACCCAGAAACTGATTATGAACAACCACATTATGGGTTTGTCTGTGCAATTCAGCTCAACTCGAATTAGACACCGAAACATAGATTTAGAACGGAAGTTACTCTTGATTTTCCTTACGTGGATTTTCGTTTAGGTCGATCTTGCTTTAGATGTGGAGAAGGCCCTTCCGGCCATTTTTAGACAGAGGTTTGCCACAACTCAGGAAGATGTTTATCCTAATTCAAACAAGTATTGGACTATTTGGTCGTTTTGGAATCAAACCGTTAGTCCTGCCAGAGCAATTTACGAGGCTATGAACCCCGAGAAGGTTGGTAATCGACTGAATGTCAACCATGGTTGTTTTTTAATCCTTTAGTGTTGTAAATATGGAAAAGTTGAAGTTAAAACGTTAAGATTTCTTAACTGACAAATTGTTGTTGTTAATATTATCAATTTTGATAGTTAATAACTTTTGCTTTTCTCCCAGACACCAATAGAGAAGCTCCAGAACCACCAGGAAGCGTTGAAAGAAGAAGTAATGACCGTCAAAGCGAAACTGAAAACTGTCCTTGATCACACAACACAACTAGAGGCCATGATGAAAGCACTCATGAAGCACCACGCCATATCTGTGGAGGAGGAGGAAGAGGGCGAGGATGACGACTAGAAGTACGCAATGACTGCTGGGAAAGCGCTTCGTTAGAAAAGTCTTTCAGTATGAGTGTGTGTGTTATTAGAAATTTCAACGCCTTTCCTGTAAGGTAGCGAGTATTTTGCACACTTGCTTAAGTGAATTAGGGTAACCCCCATTGCCTTTTAGGGTATCATGGCTCCCACAGGCCATGAGTTATGCTTTAGTAAGATTTCTTTTAGTCAGGGAAAAGTAGTAGCGGAAATTTATTTTGGGACGGGGAATATAAAAATTTGACGACATGTCAAGGAAAATTCATAGGTCCATAATTCATCTCTTTTTCCTACCTTCTTGAATTTGTGGAGGTCTTGCTCCAAATACGTTATTTTGATTGGTTGAAAATTTATCCTTTTGAGAAGTAGGTACTTAAAATATATAGGACTAGAAGCTAGGGGTTGGGAAATGTTATTTTTATCAGGGAACATTTTTCATAAATAATGATTTTGGTGACTAGACTTTAGGTTTCTCCATCCATGTGCGTCCTCTGTTCTTCATTCTCCCTCGAGTAAATGTCCTCATCAATAAACGCATACACTCTCAATTCGCAAAATAAGTTTCATTAATATATACCCATTTTTTTTCTATAATATTCAATTCCCATACTGCATTACTAGCAAATATTATTTATGATACATCGAGTTTCAAAATTACGTGGAGTTGACAAGTAGTTTCATTTTTAAAATCATCCGAGGGAAGGGAAACCAAAACACAATACCATATGGACTAAAAGGAGAATTATGCTACAGGAATTATTTGTATTTGACCTTCGCTTTTAAATAGTGTACCTGAGATTACGGTAAGGACTGCGTTTTGAGATTCCACAAAGAGACTTAACCTTCAGAAAGAGAAGGAGTAACTCTTTACCTATAATTGATGATTATGGTGATAGAAATGACGTAGTTTCTGGAGCACACTTCTCTTTTAACTGCAAGGAAACATGTGGTTAAAAATTAGTCTTACTAACAATTTTCAGTTTTCACTCTGGGCCTTTGAAGCCACTGTGCTAAGGCTTCGTTTAAGACAGTTAAGTTTTGCCTTTTGTACTATGGTAAAGTGATGACGCGTAATCTTAAATAACAAGTTGTGTATTGGCTGTAGTTCCCTATTTATGTTATCTACTTAAAACAACGTAACAAAAAGAGCTAAAATGAGAAGAAAAATGGATTCAAGAGGGGCACGATCGATCTCAATTTGATGCGAATATTTATCTGCAATGTATTTGGGTTGTACCTCCTTATTATTTATATAATTTACGAGCAGATGGGCGGTGTATATTTTCAAGATTTAACAATATTTTTCAAGCTTTGTTATTTATAAGCAATGGTTATTTTGGCCAAACAAGGAATATAGAGTAACTAACATAGTTATTTACATTGGACGCAAATTGAATCCCTATGAAATTTTTACGTTAAGGGAAAGCTGGAATAAACGAAAATGTGGAAAGTGTCTCGTTCTCTTTAGTCTTATGCCGTCATTCGGTTTTGTTTTGGAGATGTAGTATTTGCCATAAACGCCTTAACATCAGTATGCATGTTCTCCTCACTTTTCGTCACACCTTCCTTATGGAAGAAGAAGAGTATTTTTAATTTGTGATGATTTCCTTTTTTCTCGTGCGCTTAATCTTTGATTCAGTGGCAATACTTCAAGGAGACATCGTGGATCGCCTCTTTTGGCAAAGTTCTTCCAAAGGAAAAGCTCCTCTCAAGAACAAGAACTTTGATCTCGTCTGAAATACGTTTGCGTATTTGTAACTGTTATCTCACTTGAAGTATGACTCAAGGAAAATCTCGACTGGGAAGACTTATTTCGTTGTCCCGCATCCCGAGGAAGTCCCGTGAATGAAGCTTCGAGGGACTTTGTTTTGGCACAAAACAACAAAACTTCCGCTGAGTTTGAGTGAAAATTTATTAAACAGAATTATTTTACTTTATATTACTTAACTCAGCAATTTGATAAAAAACGTGTTTTAACATTACTTTAAAATTACAACATTTGTATTGAAAACATAAAAAATGCGTTTCCAAATGTCTCAAATGTGAGCAAAACGGTAACAAATTCCTAAATTAAAACTTTAATTACAATAGTAAGCTAATTCCCAAAGATTTCCCAGAGGTATGGTTTGTTCCATTGATTGACACACGGCAAAGTTACACAAACATGCACACTGTGGCGCCTAAATGGCCAGCAGTAACACAACCGGGCAGTGGTCACTCCCTTTAACACGCATGCGGATGAGACTATCGGACAACTTAGGCACCAGTCTCTCGGAAACTACAAAGTAGTCCAGGCGCCTACAATGAGAGAAAACAAACCATATCAAATACTATACTTTTATTTAAGGATGCGACTTCCTGACGTTCCTTAGTGAAATCATGGCCGAGTTGAATAGTGATGTTTAAAATTAAAGTATTCAAAGTTTTGGTATTGGACTGTTAATCTGTCTTTGTTTTAGGTTTTTCGTTTCCAACAAGGAAAGAGTAATGACTTCAGCTATCAATGGTACACCGTCAGGAAATTACAATAGTTCACATAACATCAATACATTCCCAACTTACTCCTTTAGGGATAATGTTGTGTCAAGGAAATTGTAAAAAGTTTCAGGGAAGTGTCCTTCACAAGTTGTTTGCCAAAGTCGATAATGTTCAAAGTTTCCAGCAGAAAAGTGCAGCAGCAACGAAAAACTTTTTACTTCGAAAGATTGGTTTAAACGTTTTCTTGATTAAAAGTTTTCCAAATCGGTCTAACTGTTATTTTTATTTGTCTCAGATGAGCGCGTTAATTTAAAACGAGAAAAGAAAAAATTAAATTGTTTAAGACATTTCAAATCAAGGAAAACTTTGAAGCGAAACATAAATAATATGGAATACATTACGAGAAAATACGAACGTTCATCGTTACACTATAACTACAAAACGAAACACTGTAAATAGCTGCAACACAAAATGGCTGTGAGAAAATCTCGATTCGACACAAAACTTATTTAACCTTTGCATAATTTTCAACGTACCAGCCAACATTCTTTGCGCGAGCGTTCCTCATGTAAGACCAAAACGAATACTGCTTGGTTTTGTTGGGATAAAAATGACGAAAAGAATCGACGAAACCTTCTTCGAGCAATTCAGTGAAATCTTGGCGTTCTTCTTTGGTGAAGCCTGCTGTTTTTGTGTTTGTTTTCGGATTCGCTAGATCTAAAAAAAAAAACAAACAAACAAACAGCAATTGGTGTTGAACGTAATAGAGAAATTTTCACTCAAGTGTGAAAAGTAATTCGGGATCGCATTGGTTTTGCTTTACTCCGCTCTGTGATTGGTCCAGAAAACTCACGCTACTCTCTCCGCCAATGAGATGCAAAATTTGAACCAATTTCGACTTGGTCGCCCGCGTTTTCCCGCGTTTTAGGCAGTTTGGTTGTTTTTACTTTGAATTCTCACTGGTTCTTTATTCTTCCTATACTCTGTTGGCGACGACTGATCCCCACCGTTCCCCCCTGAAAACCGTGTGATCCGCCATCCCGAAAAACCTCCCCTGGCGATAAAAAATGACTGGTCCATAATTCAAACAAATGCTCTCAATAGTATGAATCTCCATAAGCATTACATACCAATTTCCTTATGAGCTACATTGAGGTCTCCGCACAGGACAACAGGTTTCTTATTGTCCAGTTCCTTGAGGTATTCTCTGAAATCTTTATCCCAGCCCTGGCGATACTCAAGCCTAAACACAAATCAGAACAGTTTTCAACTGAATGTCGAAAAGCAAATCAAATTAGTCCCAGCAGTCAATCATTAGCCGATGAAACTCGAAGTGAACAAAGCGAAAACAAGGAAACTGCTTGAAGCGCGGGAAAACGCGAGCGACCAAGTCGCGATTGTTTCCAGCTTTGCATCTAATTGGTTGAGAGGATGGCGTGAGTTTTCTGAACCAATCACAAAACAAAATTCAGTACCTCCAAAGCAAACTGGATCACTATCGAGACTCAATTAAAATTCCTTTAATGTTGTAGTGTTGCCAAACAAATTTGTATCATTTTTTTGTCCGCTTTTAAAAACTACGGTGATGTCAAATCGACCTGCAAGTCAGTTTAAATTCTACAGCCTAAGGATGATATTTTTTAGCTTGTAGAAAGCACCTTCCGTTGCAATTTTTAATCGTAGAACCCAAAAGTATACGGCTACATATTCTTGTGTGTTTTATACAGAATAAAATTTAATTCAAAGGGAAACATTTACATACAGATGCCATATGATTTCATGGGAAAGAAACAGCAACATTACCTTGTAAGTCCTCTTCCTGAATTCGGTATATCTAAATAAGAACAAACAAGATTATCAGCTGGAGGGTGTTATCATTGAGTGAAACCAAATTCCCCTGTCTAATATACAAGGAAAATTATGGCAGTTAGTAAGGGGAATTACTAATTGAATCTTGGCAGTCGAGAAGTTGAGACACTATATCGTGAGACAAAGATATGAAATACTTACAGGCTGTTACTAAATAGAAGTCTTCAAATTCAGCCGTAATGACTCGTCCTTCATTGTCATGCTCCGAGATCCCTGTAGAGACAGTAAGGAGTGTTGGACATGAACGACAAATACGTACTCTACTTGCCAACTCTCACGGCTTCAGCGCTATTCTCTGTCCTCAGTTCAAAAGTTTTAACCTTTAACGTTTTCTCCTGCTTCGAATATTTTTGCCCCATCACAGCCTCGACTGACAAATTTCGAAAATTTGTCAGCGAACTTAGCTCGAAACAGACATAAAAATATAGGACTTTCACATAAATAAATATATCTCAGAGACTTCTGATTTTCTGATGCCTTGGAAAATTTTCAGCACGCGTTAGGAAACGTCGAGTAACTTTGAAAATGAGTTGGACCTCTTCTTACCGTCTCACTTTATAGACTCAAAAATTATCCATTTCTTCTCGAGCACAAGAAAAGATATTGATATTATTGTCAGTGATTTATCAAGTATAGTTTTGTAATAAGAATACCTGTATATCATTTTACTGACCTATGCCATATGATACATTTATAGGCTTTACTTTGCTGCAAAGTCTGCAGGAACACAATAACCACCACGTAAGTGATAAAACAACTGTACGTACACTGTGAAGCATATTTTTGCAAGTTAACACCTGTCACGGCACTCAAAACATTTTTAGCGTTTCCGATGCTGAGTTGATGGGAGGACGGCATTACTGCGAGGGCGGCATTTATTTATTCAAGGGCAGCGTTTAATTAAATAGATACAGTATGGGTAAAGAAACTACGGTCTAAAAGTTGGTCAGCTCAGTGAGCTCCAGATAAAAAGATCCCAAATCAAGCCAAGACAGCGGTCAAACGTCTGCGCATGTGTGACCGTTGTAGAGGTGGCCTCGAGGTGGCGTGCTTTCAGGCTGTTAAATACCAAGTTGTCTCACACCAGAAAACCGATAACTTTTTTTAACTTTTCTTTTAACTCTCTTTTTTTCGATAACGCTCAAAAAAATGATAAATTAGCTTGACATCTGTAATTAAATACGATTTGTGTATCAGAAGTCTTGAGTTTTTCTTTTCCATATTTAACGTATCAATGTGTCTTCGCATGACAGCAGTTGTTTTTTATGTTTTATATGCCAATATTGATCCCTTTGCGCATGACCTACGTTTAACCGCTGTGCTGGTAAGGCAATGGTGATGTCATTGCGCATTCTCACAGTGTAGATAAAATGGTGGAGATTTGTCACCTGCAAAGGACAAACTTCTTATCCTAAAGGAGATCTCCTTGTGACCTAAAGCCAATTAAACCACTATAAACTCACACAGTAGAATAAGTTATGAATTCATGTAAGAGTCATGAAACTCACCCAACTCCACTGTACCCCTTTGTTTGTCCTTCTGCCCAGTAGGTATGATATCCAGGAAGCTTTATTTCCTTAAAAAAGATACATTCAATAAAAATTTAAAGTTAAAATTAAAGTGAAATCTATGATTCAAAAGTTATGAAACGAAATTCTTCATATTTATTAGTAAGATGTACTGCAACAAATTTTCTTGCACTTACTAGCAGACATCTCAAAAAAAAAACTTTCACCTCCTGTAATAATCACCATATTTGATATCAAAAGAAAGCATTTTCATTTGGATAAGAATGACAACACTTCCAATGTGAATAATAACATTTTGATAACATGCTGCTATTCTTCTATAGGGTCAAATTGTTTTCTATGCATTTCAGTGATGTGATTCCACAGCAGTCAGCTTTCTCGAGGTTCTCCTGTTGTGGTTTCACTTGCCTATCCTTTCTTAGTCTCTAATTAGTTCTCCTCTGAGGACAGAGGCAAAGAGGTGGTGACATCTCTGACTTGTATTTCCTTGAAAAACACACAAAGAATTTTGAAGTCCCATCAAAAGTCACACACCCTTTAAATTTACAACTAACCCTTCAACTCCCATGAGTGACCA